ATTATCACCAAATTGTAGCACACTATGTGCAATTAAATAATTCCAAGCACCGCGTATTGACCGGTAATGACGATTAGTCATGAACTGGCTCTCGAAACTGATTACTATTAAAGAAAAAATTTCACGGACGAATCCCAAACCGGACTCTCCGATTAAGATTTACACATTTTTAGCATTCCTGCTACCCACGGAGCGAGACAGTCTAATGAGCAGCATGTCCTTCGGTTTGGCCGATAATTATTTTACGCAAGGATGTTAAAATCATATCTACCGAATTTATTTTCAAAAGTTAAATACGAACATACAGTAAAGTGTGAGAAGGCAATTCTTATAAATTTGAACGTTTCAAAAATATAAAAAGAAAACTTTGAATTCGCAGATCATTAATGTTGGTCAGATATATTTATCAGATTTCTATTGTACCGGTAGATTTAGTTTAAACTCTACGTTTTAGTCTAAGCTAATTTGGAACAGATTTTCTTATACCCACCTTTTTGGGATTCTGAAATATTTAATGCATGCAGTATGATGAATTTTACTAACCCAGAATTTTACAATAAAATTCTTTTTCTACTCCCGTCTGTAAAATACCTAATTACATACCGATCTAGCGTGCGGGAAGCGTCACTTTACCACGTCAGTTTCGTTTCCCACGAATCCGAGCCACTTCGAACATTTCCGGGATTTTACCGCACGGATTTGGGAGCAATCGGATGTTTTCGGAGATATTTCAGAGAATGTATGTATTTTTGTTGTTTTGCGAAAATGTACCCAAAAACTAACGGTCGTAGAAAAAGTATAGTATGCAACACGTTCGGTAAACTTTTTAACTCACTCGTTTATTAAAAACGCGCTCCGCTCGTGTCTAATAAACTCGTAAGTCTAATGTCGTTTACCGCACTTGTTGCATAATATACTATTAAAAGTTTTAAGTTAAGTTTAAGGTGTTGCTAACTGCGTTTACCGAAATACAGTGAGCAAGTTTTCCTGTTTCAGTTCATTTTGTATGTATTGCTTATATTTTACTCGACTAAAAATTTTTTCTCACGTAGTTTGAGAAAAACATTTACTTTTAATTCCTAAGACTGCTCAAGATAATAACCTTTGTTTTTTAAACGAATAATAGGGGCCCAAACTGACTGAGATAATTTAAGAATAGGGATTTGCTGATCGTGTCTACTAAAATTATTATATCAAAGTTATGAATGACCTATTGCTAACTATAAAAACTGAAATTTCTGCTTTTGTAACAATCAGTACACTTTTCTGATATTTTCTGATCAGCTGCTGCACTATACGATAGACCACTACCCCAAAGATGTATAAAGTAACGCTGGCAACGCTGCTCTGATATAAATCCGCTCCATCGCACTAAATTTTAAGCACTTCTTCGAGATATTGGCTTAATATTTTGCTAACCTTTCTAGTTTATTTTTATTTTATCGTTTATTATTACTACTAACAAAATCGCAGAGCTAAGAAAAAATGGAAGTGAACAACCGATTAAAACCTAGATAATTGCAATTTTTATTAATAAAAACAATTGATGGTCTTTAAAAGGCGCGTTTTTATTTCTTGTAATATGCAGTACCTACTTAACTCTTGTATTTCGTGGTACCGCCTCTGAATTAGTACACAAAAGGTTAATATAATTTATGGCGTTACACGTTAGGCACAAAAGGTGTAAATATGCACCTGTATGCCATTTCCTGGCTTAGGTTCATAATTTTAAACCTAAATTTCTTAATGTGTTTACCTTCGCACATCTTCAGCGAAGTTCTAACAGATATTTATTGCGTATTTGGTTTGAAAATGGCTCACCAACATTTGTGTACAAACCGCCAAAGTGTGAACATGCCGGTGAGGAGCTCGAAGTGTATCCCTGGCTCTGTGTTCGATAATGGCGATATAGAGAATCTGCTCGTAAGAATTTATTTAAATATTAAATATGGCATGTAATGTATTGTAAATATTTATTGTTGTTATTTATTGTAAATGTATTGAAAATATACGTGTGTACTCGAATAGAATAGTGGTTGTACCCACTATAAGTTTTCATGCCTAAATAGAGTAGTTTTGTGATTTGCTTGATTATTAACTAAAGGCTATTTTAAATCAACTTTTTGGTTTTGGTTTGATTAAGATGGTGAGAATAAAAAAAAAATAAAGTGTTGTATTGTAGATTTAAATAAATAAATGTTAACTGGATCCATGAATTTTGGGCTATTTTATGAAAAAGGATTAAGGTAGTGGAGGTAAATATGGCTCACCTTAATTAATTTATATTTTTAATTAAACTCAAATATTTCATGCCACATTTTCTTTTGTGGTCTGTGTACTTATATAATCTAATTCGGGACGGTAAAAATTCTTATGTTTTGAAAGAATAACAGAATTTATGGCTGTATGGCTGTTTTAATAAATAATAAATTATAAATTAATAAATAAAATTATAAAAATTATAAAACGCCTTAAAAAACATAAGAAATATAAAAAAAAAAACGTTAAACCATGACGTGGCTGGTTCTTGAGTGGACTGAGGGATATTATTTTTCTGCTTGTAAGTTGATGGAAGTAGAAGTTTTGAAGTTAAACACCCCATGGGGGATCCGCCGTATCACTCAGAGAAAAGGTTACTCACTAAACTTTGTAATTCAAAGCTTTACTCTTTTTGGTTTTCTTTCTTTCGGCAGGGATTTGGAAGCAGTTATGAAAATATTTTTCAGTGCAATTGGAGAAAGATGTCGAGAAACCGTATTGATTTTTCGAGCTAAAGCTGTTAATCGAACATCACCGTTTGAAGAAATCTTCGTTGGAAGACTTTCATTTACCTGCCGTATGTGAAGAAGGCGCAAAAGCTGCGATAATTTTTATATTTTACATAATGAAGCAAAAAGTAACTTTTTGACATTTCAATCTCATTTCGGGGAAATAAAAACTTAACAAAACTAGAAAGATTATCAAGTTTAAAACATATTTAGTAGTGGTAGTGATAACTATTTCACATTAGTTGTATGAAGTAACACACAATTTGTCATAACATTGAATTGATGTTAAAACCACCTAACACACACACAACACACCGCATATTGATTAAAGTCTGCAAAAGCACTTTTAAATTTTGATTGTTGTTTAGAACTTATAAGAAATTGAAAGACATTTAATGCAGCCATTGTCAAGATTAGTTGATTATACTGTACGTGGGTACCGACAAATTTGTTCCTTGTATGGAACACGATGTCGAAAGATTTTGGTTTCATTGGAAGTCAGACCGTCATAAAATATACAGATAATAGACACTGAGTAATATCACCTGTGTGCGGGTCGAACAAAAATTAGCCAATCCTATAACGTTTGATTATTTGTTTATCGAAATATCTTATAGTAAGTCGTCGCGCTGAAATCTCACTATCAGTGAGGTGGGTATGAAAGTTATCTTTATCGCGTTAAAAATGCAAACAAAGAACTCTCGCACACTTATTTTTCCGTTAAGGAAAAATTGTTTCTTGGCAAGTGTCAATGTCCAAATGTTCGATAAAGTGAAATGAAAAGCATGCAAAATGAGCTTGTTGTTAGTGATTCCGTCGAAGTGTTGAGCTATACGAATGAATTTCACAGTGACGACTCGAGGGACAAACTTCTCGTAAGTTCTTTTGGTCTGTAAATGTCAAAGTTTTGACTTTTTAGCGTATTAATGGGACGCGTAACAAAAACTCGGTTTAAAAATCAAATTAAAAATCGATGCGATCGCCCAGTGGTCTCCGTTAAGTCTTACAGCTTAATTTTAATGCTAGAGTACAACTTTTATTGGGGTTAGAGATGAATGGTGCAATATAACTTTGATTGCCTTTTGTTGATTGTAATTAGGTTTGTTTTGACATTATAGTTAAATATGCAAGATGGTTTAAAAACTAATTATTAAATACCGCAGAGAATTTGTAACTTGCTCTTCAATTTTTAATTAATTAATTCAAACGTGATGTAATTTTTGAATATATTTTAAATGAAAATGAATTTCACGGATTGAACATGTAATTTGCGCTCTTTTGAATTACCAATATTTAAATTAATCCAGTTAAATTAAAAAACAATTTAATTAAATTTTACTTCGAAATGAAAACAATAAAAAGACCTGCATAATATGTACTCGTACTTATTTTCTCTATGTATTTTCACTCGGTACTGTATACCTATTTACAAAAAGTCTTTTTACGTATCTCCATCGATTATATTTATTAAGAAAATTACAGACATAATAGATCCTGTAAGCCATTGATATATTTTAAATATACTTAACCTTAAAACAAAATTGTGTCAGAACTTAACACAAAACACAAAAAGTGCCAATTACTAACGCCATGCTTTGATGGTACTTTACCCTCGTCCAATTAAAATGGTGATCCAATATGTACGTCAACTTTAAAGAATAATTGTATTTTGGTGGAGCAATGAAACAAAATTAGATAATTATTATATAGATAAATCTTTAAGAGGTTGATAATATTTTATTAATTGCGAAGCAATATAGTTTGTACTGTTGATTATAGGAAAAAGCAGCTTTTGTGTCCAAAGTTGATGGTTTTAATTAATTAGTCGCTCTGCTGTATTATCCTACTGTGTCATCCAATGTGCGGCATGGAGTCTTCGGAAACGGTAAAAGCTACGGGGTCGGTTAAATTAGAGCAGTGCCAGGGGACATCCAGAGAAAAATTAATGTCATTTTCCCTTTCCGCTATATGCAACGGCGGAACACAATTAAAATGTAACTTAAATTGCCAATTCTCAATGAAACTGCTAATTGGTTCCTTTTGTTATTTTTCTGAATGCTTTTTAAAATGTTAGGGATTATGTCTTTGAAACGAAATAAAACAAAGATTCAAAGAAAGCTGCGAAAGCGCCTCAAAAATTAGTCAGTCAAGATTTAGGTTATCTACTGTTTTGCGTCCGCAATTTGGAAATCACAGTTGCGTCGTCTAATTCGCTTTGTGCTTCTTTTTCAGGACAATAAAGGAATGGTGACGCCGGCGCACTCTGAACGCGCAGCTCCGCAACCTATCGTGAGAATAAATATTACAGATCCCGACAAAACCGCCACGACCGAGAAGGCGACCGCTAGGTTGCGATTGCGACAGAGATTCCGCTTGCCCTACGCAATCAATTCACTTATCTGTGTAGTAGGTAAGTCGACAAACAATTCTCTTAATTGTTCGATTTCACACATCATCGTTCACAAATATATCAATGACATACAACACAGACATAAAGAAACAATGAAACCATATTATTGGCAATTTTGGGGACTGTCAAAAATACGACATGAGGATCTTTCGTATTTTCCTAATTTTTTGCAACATCGCGATTCTGTTATACTTTTCATCACTTCACAATTTTTAAGCGCGTATTGTTAAGGCTGTGAATATAATATTCAAATTCATACATATGTAATTGAAATCTGATCAATTTTCAATAATAGATAAAAACACTCGACTTACTTGGATGTTAGAAATACATTTTGCAGCGTCACAAACTAAAATGTGCTGTATCTATTGTATTTTTATTTATTATGCTGTCGAATATCTACCTAGAGAAATCGATAGTAGTTTACATCCTAGGCGACGAATATCAGCCAAATTCGTCTATCCTATCAAAAAAAAAAAAAGGTAAATTGGCACCCGAAAATTACTTTACTTGTAGAGGAAAAAAAATTAACAAGCGCCATCAAGTAAACTACTTTCGCAATTTAGGTTGTGTAACCTTGAGCCCGTATATGTTTTGTCTATTGGAACTAATTAACGTTTAATGTTATATCTAAAGGAAACACGGCTCCTCCCGGCCATGGGTCGTAATAAATTCTTTCATTTAAACATTTTATTTTTAATACTGAAATAGAACTAAATAATTTATATGAAAAGATTCCGGTAACATCATAATAAGGTGAGTTTTTATTTAGGTGCTCTGCACTAATTCATTAATTGCGTCTATAATTTTATCGCTCTATCCGATAAATCAGTAGATTAATGGCGAAGTTCTAGTTCATTTTTATTTCGTTTTCATTTGTAAACCCAGTTTATTGTATTCAGCTGACTGTGAACAGGCACCAATTTATTAGGATCACAGAAACGTTTGGATGCGTTTTCTGACGTTGATGTGATTTTTAGGTTCTTAGAAGTCATATTTTCAAATTTTAAAATAAAACATAAAGGCCGAGAGACGAATAGTCTTGGGTCAATTGTTTTTAGCGGGATATACACTAAAATAACGTAATAAATAAGTTGGCGGGAAAATTTGTGGAACTTATGATTAACAATTAACAGTGTCTGACGTAATGTTTATTAATAACTCTACTAAAAACTGGTAGACGCTCTTCGAAACCAATATTAATAAAATAAAAAGACATGATCGAAATTTCTGTAGTTGCTGCACGGTATATTCCATAAAATACATCGCCAACAGGTTTCCTATATTATCTTATTAATTGGTTCTTCTAATGCAGGTTAGCGGATTCTCTAAATAATTTTGCAATGCGAATCCACAGATTTCCTGCCTGTAAGTTGTTTTTCAATTCGCAAATGTAGAATGCAAACCGGTACATGGGTTTAAACATGTCATTGGTGTTATCAATCTATTTATAATATTTTTTTGCAAAAACTTTATTCTCAATTTCTGCACTACCGATTTGCAGTTTACGAACCGAACTTTCTTTTAGCGTTTTCCCACTATGAAAATTAACTTTTTTTTCAGTTTTATCTTGCCTTATACTACTAGAATTTGGATTTATCCCCGGCTTTAAGTCGGGTTTCTACTGTCAGGATCCATCGCTCTCCCATCCGTACACCGGGGACACTATAAGCACTTCAGTGTTACTCATAGGCAACCTTCTAGTGATACCCCTCTTCGTTCTCTTTTTCACCGAATACATTAGAAAAGGAAGCCCGTCGAACGTGTGCATTACCGAGCTGTGGTACTTCTACAAGGAGTTCCTGACCGGGTGTGCGTTGGTGCTGTTGTTAACGGAAGTCGGGAAGGTGTTGATAGGTGAACACAGACCGAACTTTTTTGACGTTTGCCAACCCCACACTGCAGCAAACTGTTCCGCCGGATCCTACGTGACTACTTACGAGTGCAGGAACAATAAATTTGGTCACTATTTTTTAACGGACACCTCTAGGAGCTTCCCGTCTGGGCATTCATCGCTTTCAGTATTCGTAGCCCTGTACCAAGCGGTAAGTTTTCTGTTGGTTATAGCCGCAAACCGAATTACATTGAAAAAACTGATTTTTTTTTAAACATTAGTGATATAGATGAAATAATGAGTTTACAATACTAAAAATTATAATAACATGATGGAAACTAACCCAAAACGTTTTCATTAACTGTAGAAGAGGAAATGATTTACTTATAGCATGAGCATGTTGGCGGCAATAGATTGATAACTGGCGTTTGTTGGTTAAGTTTTTACAAATTTTACGAAATTAATGGATAATATTCGCACTGCTAATAGTTTATGATGTTATATAATAATGAATTGTTGGAACGGCTTCTGAGACTGCAACGGTTAACCGATACGTTTTCGTGACCCAATTTACGTTGGGTATATTTGAAGTAAGACAGTCCGGTCTATTACCGATGTCTATCTAAGCTAAACATACGTGTCAAGCGTGGTTGTAGTTGCTGGTATGATGATGCAGTCCCCTAGGAGGTGGGAGGGGTTGGGATAGGATTCAAACACCTCTACACTAGTCATCAGGAGTGTGATCTAACTATCATTAAACTGAAAACAATGCTTGAAAAAATCTTGGCGTCATTCAATCGGATAAGACTGCGAACTGTCAAACTCTCCATTTTGAATAGTGTATATGGCGACTCTTGTCAGAGAAGAAAATTTTCTTGTGCCGCTCTTCATTTATTCTTAATTAAGACGTTGAATAATCTAATTTTCAAATATATATTTTTTCTTTTCAGTACATCATCCAAACACGATTGCCAACAGTGAAAACCGGAAGGCTGTTCAAACCATTTTCGGTATCACTTCTGGTGATTTGGAGCCTAGTCTGTTCACTAACAAGGATATCTGACAAACGGCACCATTGGTGGGACGTGGCTGCTGGAATGCTCCTAGGGGCGATGTGCGTTGTCTACAGTGTGTCCATCATACACAAGAAATTGTTACCGACGAGCATTCCTAGAGTGGCATGTTCAACGACGACATTACTAGATGTTAAAAATAAGGACGCTAGAAGTGAAATAATCTAAAGTTAATGCCAGTATTTTCAAAGTAGAAAGGACAACATGGAGTTAGTAACAAAAGACCTATGAGCTTCTTTCACTGTTTTTATTTTCGAGAACAGAGCTCGTCTTTTAAGATCTTTAAAAAAATTCCCCATCCACATTCGTGTAAATAATTTATTCACGGTGACTGCACTATTTGTATTGTATTTATTCCGTCTGATGTACATATATTGTGATGTAATATAGTATTATTTTTTTCGTATTCTGTGTGTCTTAAAAAAATGCGAATTAAACTCACCAGACCAATATTTACATATTAAATAAACAAAACAAATCAAATTAAATTTAATAGCACATCGAGTGTAAACCAATAACGTTATATCAAACAAATATAAACAAAGGCGTCCGCCTTCATAAGAATATGAATGAAAAATTACTTTTGGGGCGATATAATTGGTTTTAAATTTTGGAAGGAATAAAACTTAGTTTTTACATATCGTAGTAATATCAAAAAGCAACGTTGGTAAACAAATGATGCCATAATTGCACATTTGATTCTCACTCAAAAATATATCTTAAAGGTGTCCAAGTATTACAAATTGATCAATTGTATATAAAATCAGCGGTAAGATTTGATTTTTTAAATCATACCAAAAATATATTTCCAGTTGAATTTAAGAATAAACCATTTCATAAAATAAAAAGCAAACTGAAGCAGTGGCTAATAAATAATAAAATATCTTGATATCTTGGTTCTATGCTTAGCACGAGTTGTATAACCTAGCTGGGTATAGTCCCTGCCTATTATTATTGTTATAACATTCGACTTAAAATCTAATCCATAATCTACGCCACAAATTTGTATTGTATTGTTTTCTAACGTGTTTTCAGCACCATGTTATTAAGTGCTCGCACAGACTGTGAAGTCCATAGTGCATATTATTGTTCGGCAATGTTAATTAATGTTGTTATAAATAAATTATTATTTTTAATAATAATAATTTTGTGTAACAGACAGATTCTGTCCAATTAGAGGACAATGTTTCCGACACACTAAACTAAAACCACTTAAATATAAATGAGAAAATGATAACAATAAAAACTATAAAAACTATTGAACTATTGAACATGCACAAGAGACAGCGCCAGCCTGCGAAGAAACAACAAACATCACAGACCTTTCAGGCATTCATTAACAGCCTTTTTAAATGCGCTCAGACTGCTGTTGAACAGATCTACGTCTCACTGTTAAGCTGATTGAAATTCCTTGTCGCCTGAGAAAATGGAGCCCTCGTTCCAGCATTGCTAGATGTAGTTGGTCGAATGAAGCAAATTATGTCGTACATCAAAAGAAGGTACACTAAAATTGACAATCGATGAGGTCATTGCATAGTTTATATACAAATACTACAGGGCGCCCAGTCTCCAAGGACAAAAACTAAAATCGCCTTAGCAGTTCTGTATGGACGCAGCCCCTGGGGTCGAAACCAATCATCCAACTTGAATGTTTGGTAATGTGCACGCCATAAATGGGAGACCAAATTATGGAAGAATAACCAAATTTAGACTTAACTAAGCAATCATATAACCTCTTTAGATACTGAATATTGTCAAACACTTGGGTAGTGCCGAAAATGAAACCGACGTTCCTGATTGCTGACTGGGCTATGCTCCAATGTGAATGTTAAAATTTAGATCCATATCAACAGATACCCCAAGGTCTTGAATCACCCCACTGTCCACCACCAATACGACACAAGCAGGAATTTTATGACATTTTTGCATACATTAGTATATTCCTGGACGATCCCTATGCCGAGTTTCCCAGTGGTGATGTTTCGGACAGTGAAGCTAATGCAAAGATTCCGTCAATGTTAGTTGATGTTGATTTGGTCTTGACAGCATTTGCAAATGCATTATTGTTATATATACTCTTATGCTAGTTGCAGTTTTGGATGTAGGTAAGCGGAGCGCCGCTTAGTTTCGATATTGTCAAGTCTTATAAAAAAATACAAAAAATATTTATTGAAAATAGCTAATATTTAAAAATGAATGGTAGAAAATTGGGCATCTAAAATCGGTTAACCCAAGAAACCAAGACATAAAAGACGCAACTTTAGCGTGGTCACAGTGTCACATAACTTTTTCTTTTCTTTTGTTATAGGTACTAAATGAATTCGTATATTTTTTTCCCTTCTAGTTCCCCAGTCTATTGCAAAACTTGCTTAATTTACTGACAATAGATTTAGGTATAACATAACAACGATACCATTGATTCGTTTATTAAAGGTAAATACTATTTAAATTATTTCAATTTAACGATTGGAAAGAGAAAAAGTCTTTTAATATTGCTGTAAAGTAACAGCTTACTGATACGCAAAAAAGAACCCGCGATTTTTGCCACACCTATTCGTATATTTTAACGCAATTTTTATTGTTGTTGCATTGTATATTTATGTAAAAAGGATCATTTTTTATTCAGGGCAGTACAACTAATATAATATTAATCTTCATCGCATGGGATGAGTGTTCGTATTAGAAAATCGAAAGAGATTAAACAGGAAACCAAAAATCATAACAAAGCATCGTTTAATTAGAGAATTAACCAGACCTTGGAGTTACTAAATTTAGAGTACATTATAAATTAATTTAAATCTGTAAATGTTAAAAAACACGGTTTAGGTTTATATTTTATCTATATTTCACTCATCTCTTCTACATTTAAGTATAATGAAACTTCATACTTTGGCACAGCATTCAGGGTGCATATACCTATGATTTCGCAAAAAGCTATTTAAAAAAAACACTAGGAGTGGACTTTGACACCGTCAGTGCGGTAGTAAACGTAGAAACGCAGGGGTTTAGACCATTGTCGAGGACAAGAGGAAAACATGAATATTTATAACTGCCAATAACGTTTCTCCTTTAATTAATTGGTTGTTCATTCGTTATCAAGATATTGAAGTGATTGTAGAGACCAAATCACGACTAATGATGACCGAGAATGGGGAATTGTTGGTGGTAAGTATGTTTCCGTAGTAAGATAATATGACTAGCTGAGTTCACAATATTTATTGACACTACTTATCTAACTTCATAATGTGTTCATCCCTCATCTACATTTTAATAATAATAATGCCATTAATAAAAAAATCCAGTTGATGCAGAGAGTCCGAAATCTAGCTTGCAGCTACGCACATCTAACGACTAAATGCAGTTATTAATACGGCAGCATTTCCAAAAAGTATAAAAAATGAGATTTCGGAAAAATGTCGAAGGGTAATTAATATTATTAAAAAATAAGTAAATAAATTAAATGTAGGTGGTCCCTTTCCTCTTACTTTAGAAGGATATTTTTTCCCCGTTAAAGGTTTGTTTTTGTTTTTAAAATTGATATTTTTGTATTTTATCTGTATTTGTAAACAAAATTAGAAAGAGAGTCGGTGATTGTCTTGAGCCGTCAGAACCTCAAATCATCCGAAACATACGAATATCGGGAAATAGCGAAATGCCTTTTCTGAATTTCCAAGTATTCATGTGACTTGCGATGTTACCGAAAACATCTGTTATTCTCGTTTATGTTGGTAGATATAAGAGTGTATTCCAGGCGGTAAAGAAATTATTGAAAATAAAAATATGGAATAACACATACGCAGCGTGTGAGATAAAAAGTACGAAACGACAGTGGATGTGCAATTGTGCAAAAACCATATGGATCATTAACTTCTTATACTTATTCTAGTACCTTTCTGTTGAAAGAAAGGCAATTAGCTTAGAGTTGGATTATAAAATGTTTTTAGGAACAAAAAAATTATACCAATGACAAAACTGCGCAATAAGTATTGGATATTTCAAGATCAAAAATCGATCGAAATTGACACGTAATGAAGCGTTTTCGTCATACTTAAACTCGAACTGCCAATTAAGCATAACGCTTTTAATATTTTTTGCACGAAGGATTAACGCATTATTGTCATTTGCAAATGCGTTTCAGTTATTACGGGTAATATTATATAAGGACAACAGCAACCCACACGACAACCTTAGGCCGTTAGAATTTTATTAGAACGTAAGCGTCACCTCTACTCTATACTTAATAAAAATATTTTCGATTTAAGGAAAAAGCCCCCGTGGACGCTTCATTGGATGAATCCAGAAATCGGAATCAAAACGAGCAAAACAGCTTCTCAAACAGAAGTCGATCTGCTAATATTAAAGAAATACTTGTGAATCGCGTGCCATTTCCGTTGATTATTGACGCTATTTTGGTATTAACCGGTAAGTTTCACTGCGACATCTAAATAATGACATCAATCTTTACTCGCAATATATAATATTTGCACTTATACTTTAACAGATTTTTTTAAAAAGAGTTATGACGATACAAAATGTTCATAGTAATGTGAAACGAAAGATGGCACAAACGAATTTTCATTTTCGGGAAACCTCGAATGTAGCTTTGATATTACCACTCCCCCCTTTTTTGAGGAACATTTACAGTCAAAATGAATGGACAACTATCCTTCGCATTGCTTTTGAGGGGCTCAATTTCCGTTATATACTTAATTAAAGTAACCCCAACAGACAAAGTCAGGGGCAACAAAATATCCGGTGTTACAAGATAACAACTGTCACGGAAATGATCCCTCTATAAAACGCCTCTCTTCAATTTGTTAAATATTCGTTACCGAAATATGAGGTGAATTTAAATTCTTGTTATATTTGTCCATTAATTTTGACCTCAATGGCAAAAAAATTGTCGGTCGTTGAGCTGGTGCTATAACTGACCTATCATTTTTAGTGTTGATTATATTTCTCGTCTTGCACGAAGATCTGGTCATGTATCCCCAAGTTAAAGTAGGATTTTATTGTCAAGACCCGGCTCTATCGAAAAGCCACAACAGTAGTACCATTGCAGTCAAACACCTGATGGTTTCGACGTTCGTACTCATTCCCGTCTTTACCATTGCGGTGACGGAGTTCTTCAAAAACGTCTCATGGAAACAGAAAATTAGAAATTTCTGTTACCTCTATACGGTATCCGTAACTACGGCGATGATGTTGTTTATAATCAACAAATTCACAAAGTTTATGTTCAGTGAGCACAGACCTGACTTTTTCGCAGTATGCAGACCAGATACAAATGAAAATTGCACGGCTGGCACCTACGTTGAATCGTTCGTTTGTTTAAATAAAGACAAATTTCCAAGGATTGTCGCTAATGAGATATCGAAAAGTTTTCCTTCTACTCACGCGACGTTGTCAGTGTTCGTCACTATTTATTGCAGTGTAAGTAAATGAATATTTTAGTCATATAATGCATTATTACTTTCGAAAAATCGATGAAATCGCGCTAGACAACGAAACTAATTTATCGGCAACGGTAGGTCCTAGGGGATCCCCATTGCTACAGAAATGATCAGCTTCAAGAAATACATTTTTTTTTAAATTTGTCTCTGTCCGTTTTCCGTTTCCCTGTTCCCCGTTTCTTTGTAGACGGAGCATTAAATTGCGATAACTTTCGAAACCTTCAGCATTCAGATTTGGCTCCTTTTACAAAGTTTACAAGACACATAAGCCAATAGAAAATGGTTCTGTAAAAATCACGGCGTCCATCTTTTTTATAGATTTTCGACTGTTTTTTGGACATTGCTGTGAAACACGATAAGTGTCCGAAATTTGAAGCCATCAACTTGAAATTTGACACACTTATTGAGATTAGCACCGTAACAAAGCCTATGTACTGAAAAAATGCAAATCAAGCCCCAGATCTGGACAAAAAACCTTTATTCTCGATGATTATTCAAAAATATACAGGTAATTTGTAAAAAACTGAAAATATAATGATATTTTTTTTACATGGCAATATAGCCCATATGAACAGCTATAAGAAATATTCTTCAAAGATACTTCCACAGGCTACTGTAATACTTTTTATAAAACTTCTGCATTCCTCCTGCGTCGGTTTTTGCTAAGTCGAAATTTAGTTTCAGTCAAGGTTTGAAGAAGCCAACAGGATGATTGGCGAAACGTCAGCAATTTCGACGCAGCAAAAACCGACACAGGAGAAATCCAGAAATTTTGTAAAAAGTAAATATGTAGCTATCGATTTTAAATTTGGCAAGGAAGTAAAAGTCCGTAACCACTTCTTAACAGTAGAAATTTTTGATTTTTTTAAAATTATTTTCGCTTCCAGAAAAACATGATTTTATCAAAAACTATATAACCGATCGGCAAAATTTTAGAACCGGGAAACGCGGGATATCCGGGGCTATGACTTTCATTTCGAGCATGTTTTCGATTATATACAGCATTTTTCAATTATGGACAAAAATTTAAAAGACCATGAAAATTGTACTTTTCGGGAATAAATTATAAATCAAAATTAATAAAAAATATTTCCAATTGGTTTAAACAGTGTTATATACCACATCGAGAGCTACAATTTTTGTATTTACGGTTTTTGCCTATCACATGCGCTGTTCGAGATATTTGGAAAAATCCAAATGAAAATCATCATTTCTCGCCCTCAATTTACACGCGATGACGTCATTAACTATTACGACGTACTGCATTGTTTCATAAAACAAGTATTTTCTCGAAAACCATTTACTATATTAGAAAAATTCATATACCAGAAGACTTGGGAGATCCAGGGCTATAATGTGCATTTCGAACATTGTTTAAACTATATACAGGGTGCGTCGTTTATTAGCCCGAATTGGCTTCTTTTTAAAATAAAAATCTGGTCCGCGCCACACGCTACCAACTTGCCCCGCTCACCGACGATTTTTCGAAAGCAATCTTGTAGTTAATAACGTAACGGAAATTAAATACTAAGTCTACATATAATTTCAATTTCAATTTTATTTCACAATAATTAATACACAGCAAACCTTATAACTACTAACTACTAACTATTATATAAGCCTCCTAGTTCGAATAGCCTGTAATTAAAAAAAAATCTTCAAGGTCACGTAAAAATTTAGCTTTGCTATATATAAAAACATTTTTCTAGAATATTTTCAATTTTTAATAATACCTACATGTGCAACGCAATGTATAATATATAAATCCACCAGAAAAAGTAAAGTTGATGATAGCTTGAGACGAACGAAACGTGGACAGCGCTTTTGGAGTTCAACAGAATACGAATAATTTGTCCCAACTTTTGAAATAAACTCGTAATAAAAGTCGAAGACAACTTAAAATTTGCAAATATTATTGAAATATATATAATATGATATATTATCCATAATTACTGATTAGAATTTTTGCAACAATTTCGCTCCCCTCGTCGTTTCTGAAAATCTAAACTGGTGGGAGTCCAATTTAGAATTGCAGGTTGGAAAATAAAACTAGGGCTCGCACCAAGGTGGAGATGTTTCTTGATGGTGAGTCAATATTGAAAATTATTCTCAAATTCATTTTAAGAAAAATATTTGGTAGGTATGATTTTTGAGATATAGTAAATTTTTCAGGAAAAGATTTTGATTTTTTACTCGAAATATTTACTAAATTATTATAAAAATTTTTGCAAATGGCCACCATCAATTGAACAGCCGTTCTAATATTTCATTCGAATTCCCCAGGAGGTAACTAACTAAAACTAGATTTGTGTCTTCAAAAATTGTTAGACGGTGGAGCTAACTGTAATACTTTTAATTTATTTTTTTTAATTAACGGTAAAGTCTGTTCATAGATATAAGAAAGTGACTAACTGATACGAATTAAGGCAAGACCCGGGCAAGCTGTAAGAATGAAATATGACCGAATTTTGCTTAGAATTTAATTATTTCGGGTTTTGTTAGGAGAGATACAAAACAATATTTATTTATTTATGTTTAAATCTAAAATAAAATTACAAATTATTTTTATTACCTACTTAAATTACTTAAAATTATTCACAGAATATATCAGTATCACTATTGCTATTATCGCCTGTTCTAATTATTATTTGATCTATATTATTTGCAATATGGATATACGATTGTTCTCCTTTTTCTACATGTTTAACAGAATTTGCCGAACTTTGTGGAGGGATGTTAAAAACTTTGGTTTCTATAAGTTTGAGGACATTGGAGTTAACACCGGAAAAAACATTATTACGACGAATGGAAGATTTCAGTTGGTGCCAAATATACAGTGGTAAGGTGGAGGAAGCCTTAAAACTGTATGCCCTAGATTTTTTGCATAATTATCACAGACGCATTCCTTTTGTAGGTTCAAGCTTTGTAGAATCTCAATCAATTGCTTTTTGGTATAATCTTCGTGAAAATAAATGTCGTTATTATACATGGAGTTTTGGAACTAGTTTGTTTTTAAACCAAATTTCAAATAAATCAGCGGTGGTGTCTTCATAGTAATCCAGAGTAAAATCTTTAATATTTTTCGCAGACAGAGAAAGTCCATTTGGAATCCAACCATCTTTAGAGCCAGCATGCAAAATAATTATTCTTTCACCTCTTTTTGATGGCGCGATTGTTTTACACTTATCAGTTGAGTCAACCCAACCATTTTCCGGGATATCATAAGTGTCGAACCAGGTTTCATTGCCCTTTGTTGTTCTCTGTAAATCCTAATTTTGTCTAGATATTCCAGTAGCCATTTCTGAATTCTAAAAGATTCCATTTAAACTTGCCTTTTGTCAATTTTTTCAAATCTAAACCCATGTGTTGAATACACTTCCATAAGGTATTTCTGCCACATTTAACACCGGTTTCATCTTTTTCAAGCCTCCTGAAATGGGATTATTCACAATTTTCCATTCAGTTGATGTTGGAATTTATGTCAATGTGGTCGTTTCTTCTAAAGATGCTTGCTTGCTGGCACCACGTTCAATGAGAGTCAAATAAACATTGTTTATAACTTTCTTAGTCTCAATAGAATAGTGTTTTCTACATTTGGGCGGGAGCATCTCCTGAGATACACTAGAGTCGCACATATTTTGCATAATTCGCACTCGATTCAACACACACAGAATGATTACTAATAAACTTAAACTAAGTAGCATACCAAACCAAAGAATATTAAACGCAAGTAGGTATAAATTTATTTTCTATTATAACCTTGTTGCATTGTTGTTAATGACTACCCTTGGAGAATCCCATGCCAAAGCAATTGGTCACTTTCTTATATCCATGAACAGACCATACATTTGACAAGAAACGCGGTATAGGGAACTTTTATGCAGAAATGATTGGACTATCCAACGCAAATATTTGCCTTGAAATATGGTGGTGTATCAAATTTACGAAATTTTACAAAGATGTTTAAAATCGTTTCTTAGATAGTGTAAACAAATTCAGGAAACTGAAGCATTTTAAAATATGGTCAATAATTATCCCCGTCACTATTGACTCTCCACTAAGGAAAACCCAGGTACCAGAATAATAACCACGTTTTCATTTACTTTTAGTACATTGTACAAGGGGTGCCGTCCAGTAAAACGGGCTTTCTGGTTAAGCACTTGTTCAGTGTGGCATTGTTTATGTGGAGCATCGCAAATTCGGTGACGAGAATAACCGACGGCCGCCATTTTTGGTGGGATGTCGTAGTCGGTGTTCTCTTAGGTGCGTTCGCTGCGTGGTACGTTCTAAGGACCACGAGCCTAAAAATCATGGAACGTGTCTATTGCGGAAAACAATGCGAGACAATTCGAAAAATGTATTAGAGTGGAGTAAAAGTTGTTTGTAATTTGGCTGTGTAAATAAATAGATATTTGGAAAATGTTCTGGCATTTTTAGTAAAGTCCTTCTTGTAATTTTATGGGCTCCAAAAAGTTGTTTTTCCTAGGGAGTTATTTTATCCTCAAATTTATTAGACAAAATGAATTACAAATTACTTGCGGCATGTCCAGCATGTCCAAATACGATAATATATACAGGGATAATATATAGATGGAGATATGTTAGAGCTCAATTCCTAGTTAAAAAATATGATTCTTTTTTTATAAACATGGTTGCGCATGACCCTTGAACACTACCAAGGGTGTTAAAAACAAAAAAAATTCATTAGTGTCTAAATAAATAATCACTCGATTCTCTTGAAAGTTGGTAATGTTATTTGAGGTATTAAGTGGCTAATTTCACCCTCATAGATTAAAATTATTAAGTGCAGGGGCGTCTCAGGGCACCTTGGCGAATGTTATTGGTAAAAAAATGTACGCTACTGCCTTTTTTGTAACTTTTATATTTTTTGCTTGATTAAGCATGTAAGTTCTAAAATCGTAAATACTTACGAAGAGATAAGAAATAAAACTCAATTCGTTCAATGATTCGTCCAGTGAGAAGGTGTACAGAAATGGATAATGGTCATCTTCAACATTTGTTGTAGAGTGAATTTGGCGCTATCACGTGACCAATTACAGACCCTCGAACTCGAAGCCAGTGACGGTGCATAATACATATTACCAATCGTTTTTGGAGTCATATTTGTACAAATTGTCAAGACATATAAGAGCAATCAATTACAAAATACTTAATACTACAGAGGCCTATAAAATTAACACGCACAAATGAGGACACAAAATAGACACACGCCACGGCTGGGAGACGAAGACATTCACTGGTTGCCTAGGCAACGGCATCGGCGCTCTCCAAAAAATCTCCGTCTAAGAGCAGCTATTTTGCGTCCGCGTTTGATTAATTATTCATAATTTAAAATCATAAAAATCCATCAATAAAAGTATAAAGCCCGAAGATTATAATTTTTTCGGAACTCCTTAAATATGTAATCATTTATTTATAGTTTGATTAATATAAATGGCCCATAATCTATTAGGGCTATTAATCCCGTAGTAAGTTATTATTTTTTCCACCTTCACTGAGTTTCACACAGCATTATGAGATGTGGATCAGTTTCGGATTACCAGAATATCCGTTTCCACTGAAATTTCTATTGATGATTCAATTAAAACTTATTCAACAATTCTATAGAGGTTTGTATCCTGCATTGTAAGTACGTTTTGTAGTAAATGAAAGAGGTAAATAAACTTTCGTTATAATTTCCTTATGAACAATATATTTTATAATAATGTACGTATTATATTTATGAACACCACTTTATTTTTAACTCTATAACACGATGAAAAAGGGGACAAACACAAAAAAAAAAAATACGAACTAACCATAAAGGAAACAACCAGATCTTTCATTATAATTCAAAAATAGGTCACGTTTAAGATATAAACGTCTTAATTCAGATATTACTTTAAACCAGTATAGAGAATCGAGAAATTTTGTGAACTCCTGTGTGAGAGCCGAGAAAAGGGCATATTTGACAAGCACATTTAGTTGATTAGTTCTTTTGAAGCTGTTGGTGGTGTTGACCCTGGGTTGGTGTTTTCAAATAATACTAATAAAAAATTTGGTCCTAATTCATTTCATTTTGCTACAGTTTTCCCGGAGAAAGTTAATAAAACTCTGATTAGTATTAAAACTAACGCTCATGGTTCAGACAATATTGATATCAAAATGATTTTTTTCACTACTCCATATTTAGTCGATCATATCACTTTCCTCGTGAGTCTTTTGTCTGAGGTTGTCCCTGACTCTTGGAAGCAAGCTGAAATTATAGCCGTTCCAGGGAGAGAGTGTTTAAGTGACATTAACGATTTTAGACCAATTAATTTGTTGCCAACCATCTCAAAGGGCTAAACAACTTCCTCCTAAACCAAATCCACACTATTTTTGTTTTGCTTCATATTACTGATGATTTATTGAGAGCGGCGGTTTATAAATTAAACTCTTGTCTAATACTCTTGGACTATAGCAAAACGTTCGAAACCTTGGATCATTTCCTACTCTTAGCGAAACTGAAATACTTTGGAATAAAAACTTTCTTTGTCAGAGTAGTTAGAGTAGATTTAGGAAATCTCATCCGGGTGCTATTGCTTTGGAAAGGTGTGTTCCCCAGGGGATTGTTCTAGGATCTATTTTTTTTTTCAGTTTATACAGATGACTTCCCTACTTTTCCTATATTTTGTAAATCTCATCAAAACGCCGATGATACTCAGTTATCTTTTGTTGCTAGTGAAGCTTTGAATGCTGTTACTAAAATAAATTCGGTTCTAAAAATAATTTCGGAGGTGTCTGTGGTTCATAACCTCTTATTTAATTCTACCCAAACGCAGATGTAATTATTTGGAAATAAAAGGGAAGAAATTGTAAGAAACGCCTCTTTAAAGATTACGCCAAATGATCAGATTATCTCTCCTTTTTCGGACGGGTGTAAAAATTTAGGATGCTTTGAAGGTGACTGGAGGGTTTCTAAACGTGTTAGCACGGTGTTACTAAAATCCTTCTATAAGTTGTACATTCATAAACATCTTCTCAGTAAGGAATTCTGCTTAAACTTATTTATTATTTATTGCAGTATCAGCTAGCTATACTAAATCGAGATAAGAGACCATATTTCCCAGTGCCTCACTGATTGGTTCAAGCTGGACGGCCGTTATAAAGTTCAGTTAACTACCTTTGTTTTTTTGTGTTTGTGTGTTTTGTTGACATTCATGAAGAAGAGCGCAATACGTAATATATTGTAATATTTTGATTTTTAATAAAGACAGTTTATTATTATTATTATTATCTGTATGACGTATCTGGGGTTATTCAGATCATATAGATTCAGTTGTGCACCAGACTAGTCGATATCGGTGATTTCAAAACCTTTAACCGTATTGACACTGCGGATCTTAGAGGTGGGTTTCTCAGATATGGAATTTACCCGCAACGGTCCTTGAGTTACCCTTGACTGTGCGTCGTGACAACTGTGAGATTGTACTGCCGATTTCTTTTGGAGCAATTATAGTTTCATGTTCCCGTACAGGCTTTACACATCACCATACGTTCTCTTTGCAGTTGCAGTTGCATGTTTGAAACCTCTTCGGCATATTTTGTGACAGTCTTAACTTGCGCAATCTATCTGGTTGTCCCTTTTGGCTCTAGTTTTTGTTTTCGTTTTGTTAATGTTAATTTTAGTTTTCTCTTTTAAACCTTTCTATTTTAAATTAAAAATACAAAAAAGCAATCTCAACATATGATTTGCGTTTGTAAGATTTGCTTATTTAAATTGATTTACTTGTTTGAATTTGAAATTAAGAAGATACCGTTTGAATTGCACTCTCCTTCTGAAAATTATTCCTGCAATCAAACACGTAGACTAGGCTTCAAAAACATCTTACACATGCATATTTTGCTTGTTGTGCTTTATTACTCGCATTATCGTATATTTATTTAATTATACACAATTTCGAACATTGACCATTATCTACTGCACTACACCAGTTCCGAAGATTACTACACATACGAGATTAGCGCCAAAATTTCTCGGCCTGACATAGATGGAGCTCCAGCATCATGATAAAACTTTTTTTTTAAATATATATCTTAGTAGGCTGCGAAAAAAAAAATTGAAGTCTTGCATCAAATAGTTTTTTATTGACAACATTTTAAACAAGACGTGTCCGAAAAAATGTCGCAAATAACGCAAATTGAGTATAGAGCAGTCATAAAGTTTTTGACAAAAGAAGGGTTAGCACCTAAAATTATTAAAGAAAGGCTGGATGGTGTGTACGGCCAAAGTTCTCCTTCGTATTCTGTAGTGAAAGAATGGGCAAAACGTTTTCGAATGGGGCACGAGTCCCTTGAAGATGATTCAAGAACTGGTCGACCAGTGGAGGTCATAACGGAAGATATTGTTGCGATTGTGGAAGAGGAAGAGTGATCGACGTTTAAAGGTCAAGGAAATCTCAGAAATTACTAAGCTTTCTGATACAAATGTTCGTCGAATCCTGCATGATCATTTAGGTATGCATAAGATTAGTGGAAGATGGGTTCCTAAAAACCTTTCGGCTATTCAAAAACAACGCCGTGTTGAGTGTGCGCGGTCTTTTTCGGAACTCTGTGGGTCGGAACCGAAGCTTGTGAGAGAAACTATTGTGACGGGAGATGAAACTATGGTTCTCTATTATGACCCTCTATCGAAAAAAGAATCAATGGAGTGGCGTCGTAAGGGTGAAACAACTCCAAGAAAATTCAGAGTCTGCCAGTCAACAAAAAAGGTGATGGCCACGATCTTTTGGGATTGTGAAGGAATTATTTTGATAGATTTTAAAGAAACTAATACTTTTGTCAATGGTAAATATTACGCAACATTATTACATAAATTGCGAGACTGCATGCTTGTAAAACGTTGAGGAAAACTGACCAGAGGCGTGCGTCTTTTGCGAGATAGTGCACCTGTCCATACTGCTGGATATTTGAAAAATGGTTTACGTGGGCAGCGGTTTAACGACGAAGTTGAATTAAAGGAGACTGTTTTAGCTCATTTTGCAGACAAACCAAAAGAATATTTTTTTAAAGGGATTGAGTTATTAATAAAGAGATGTATCAAGTGTATTGAAGTACAATGAAAAATAATAAAAAATTGTTACTCTACTTTTTTTCTTTCATATTCAAGCCGGGAAATTTTGGCGCTGCCCTCGTATATAAAATTCGTTCGTGTAGGACCGCGCTGGCTGCAGTTAATCATGAAGTTGTCAATTGCTAAGGATACCAACCCTGGAGCGCTTTATTGGGAGTTTCTTATAATAAAACAGGACTTTTAAATTTGTGTTTCTTTCAGTGGGTAACACGGGTCTCTGACTATTTTATGGAAAGTTGTTTAAGCCAACCGCTTCTCTAAGATCTATATGATTCGCTCTTCCTTGTACGTTTTT